GTATTCACATCACCTGGGTAAAAAAGTATACGATTTCTCTCAATCACCGTACATCATTGCAACCGCTTTCTGCTTCGCATACCATGCCTTTCTGTACGAAACTTTAAATCCATATTTAGAGGTGATCCTTTCCTGAACCAATGCAATTTAGACTGATGATTCTTCCCTTATCATCCCTGCCAATGAAGACATTACATTCACATTACGTACAACGCATATAATTAGACAAACCACTTTAACAGTTGAATACACATTAAGACAGAATACGTACCTAGAACGATCTCCGCAATGACGTCAACATTGAGCTGTCTATGACCCTGAGAAATATGGTCATTCAAACAATTGTGATCCCCACCTTATCTGGTAATCTTCCAATTTTCACCAAACACTGATTTTATCGCCCTAACGCGCCACGGGCAACCCTTATCATACGCGCAACATTTCATGCATAACTTTGCATGTGTGCTCTCAATTACAATTGCATCTTGATGCTCCCTCATGAGGTTGTGCTTCAATACCATTTGAAACTTTTTTTTCGTTGCAAATTTTTGCTTCTCAAATAACTTGTCACCCAGTTGTCACGAACCTTGTATTGATCCCGATCCTGAAACCGAACCATCAGTGCATGATTCTTGCTCGCTCCGATAACTACAATTAATATGTGTGTAATGTGGAATTCCTTCCCAAAAAAGAATAACAACACCGTCACCTGTATATAGTAATTAAAACTTCTTAATACAATATTCAAATATCCTAAATCACAACGTAATTATTCTGTAAAGTACCTTCATGATGATCTGCTAATTGTGCGGAGCCAACGTCATTAAGTTGCAAGATTTGAGCCTCCACTGGTTCATGGTATATTGGGATTTGAGACGCTCCCATATCACCACCTTCATCTCCTTCTGAAGCACTAGCATCCTCGGTTAGAAGACGTTCTTCCATTGTGATATTTTCATCATCATCGTCATCGTCGTCATGCATAATCCAAGTCGGATCATTTTCATTTCCCTAAGAAATGTTACTAATTGGAGAAGCATGAGTGACAGACGTTGATGCAAGACGGGGAGAATTTAAAGCAACTGACCTCACCGGTAATGGAACATCCTCCAATCCGGCAATGTCCATATACAACTCCAGAAAATCTTTCCTTGACTGGTTGAAAAATTCTTCCATTATCATCTCGACGTCTTCATTGTCAACCACTTGCAAACTAATGTATTGTTCAGATTGCCATAACCTTGTGGTGATCTGAGTGATACATTGGTTACCTTGAAGACTTAACTTCTGACGAATTCTCTGATGCAGTTCGCCAATGGTTGCGTTGCGTTGGATACGTGTCGGCTTTTTTTCACCTTCAAACATGACACCTCGTCTACCTTCTACCTTCCTACCATTGTAATATAACACAACACGAACAAAATCAGAATGTGAACTCATTTTAAAATGGAATAACAAATAAAATAAAAGACTAAATTTAAGATAACAATTATGTATGTAAAATGTAAGAATTGATGGTAGATAAGAGATGTGAAGAGTGCATAGACTAGTAGGGGATTATATAGAGTTTTTTGACCTATTCACGCCCTGGGGAGGCATAATGGCTGCATGTGTCACGCCCAAAGTGGACGTCACATGTCACGCCCCATTAAGGCGTGACCCATGTGGGTATCACGCCAAATTGGGCGTGACATTGTGCAGTGATTCAAAAATATTTTGAAAACCGCTGTAAATTTGTAATTTTTTATTTAAATAGCAATATATTAATTTTTTTTGCCTCTCGTTTGTTTAAAGTTTGACCTGCTACCGGCATTCCTGGTCGATATGTTAATTGTGGAACTGCAAATGCATAATGGTCCGGGCTCTAATGCTGGTAGCTCATAATCTTGGAAAGTTTGACATGCTGCAATTCATTTAACAAAAATGTTATATTACAATGTTTTTATTGCGACTTAGCCTCGAATCAGAGTTAGTGTTATAATTAATTCAAGGAGTTCAAATTTGTAAAAATACCTGGAGGGCAACTCACATACCAAAAAATATATATTATACCAACAAAGTCCGACATAGTTGGTAGATAGCTGGATACTTTAAGTATGCTGAAAGGGGTTCGATCTTGGTCGTGTGTATAGAAAAGACTTTGTTGGGAGAGGTTGCACCCACTTGAAACGCTTTTCAATATATATATATATATATATATATATATATATATATATAGAGGAAGAGAGAAGAGGAAGAGTGACCATTTTGCCACGCTTGGCAAATTTTTTTTACCAGACTGCCACGTCAATAGTAAATTTTGTCAAAATGCCACGCGGCATATTTCGCTACACTGTGTAGCGAAATATGTTTGCAAGTAATTCGCTACACAGTGTAGCGAAATATGCCATGTCAGGCTACACAGTCAGCAAAAAAATGACACGTGTCAAGCTAGTATAATTCAAGCATAATTAGCTACACAGTGTAGGGAATTTCTGCCTGCTTGACACGTGTCATTTTTGCTGACTGAGCAGTCTGACATGGCATATTTCGCTACACTGTGTAGCGAATTACTTGCAAACATATTTCGCTACACAGTGTAGCGAAGTATGCCGCGTGGCATTTTGGCAAAATTTACTGTTGGCGTGGCAGTTTGATAAAAAATTTTGCCAAGCGTGGCAAAATGGTCACTGTTCCGAGATAAGATCCTTTGACATCGATGTCAAATTTAAAGTTTGACACCTCATCTGAGAATCGTTAGAAAAAAAAAGATCAACGACTCTGGTTTGTAAACATGTGACACCATTGATCTTTTTTGATCTGATAGCTCTCAGATGAGGTGTAAAACTTTAAATTTGACACCGATATCAAAGAATCCTAACCGTTTATATATATTTATATAATATACGAGCTTATTTTTTTATAGGAAATAAAATTATCTTCTCAAATTCCAAAATTACGTTATTTTAAAAGTTAGAGAAATTAATGAATAATATTTTAATAAAATTAATATAATAAATGTTGGGGTACATTTTTTTATTTTGATTCATTAAAGGGTGAGTAGTGGGTACTAGCTTAATTAAATAACCGGTTCGTAGATTATGAATAAAAAAAAAAATTTAATCGGCCCGAACCAACGGGTCGGAGTTTACCCATTTTACCGAAGTTTGATTGGGTCAGAGTCAGACAGAAAGTGATCACGGCTACGGAATCGTCCGAATCGATTCGGGTTGTGCAAATATCATTGACCGAGCAAGAGAAAACCAGAAAAAATAAAATGCATCGGGTGTTAAACACGTTAAAGTTGCTTATAAGATGACGATGGTGGTACGTGAAAATTGACAATTATAGAAGCTCCGACTATGACCGTGTGTTATCGTCTGATCGATTTGTTTTTTCATAGTCGTTGGTTGGGTTAAATATCGGTTAAGTATAATTTGAGCTAATAAATTGTTGATTTTGTTTAGGTCTGTGTAGGTTATAGATTACTCATACTAGTCTTGGTTTATATTGTCAGTTACAACTTACACCCAAATGATGTCATTTTGAAATTGGAAAAAAAAATTATAATGATAAAAATTAACAAAAATTTATAATAAATTAGAATTATAAAAATATGTTTTTTAACCTCAAAATGACATCATTTTAAAATTATATGATATAAGTTATGTCTAATAATTGGAGAAATATTAAACCATATTTATATTATTAGAATCAAAACTTTAATTGTAAATAATTTCATATATTTAAAGATTTAAAATTAATTATCATTTAAAATATGTACAACTAAATTTTAAATTTAAATTTTATTAATTGATTGGGATGTTTTTTTTTTTTTTTTGGAGATCGATTGGGATGTTTTTAAATTTACAGACTAACCGGCATCTGGTTGCGCAGATTAATTAAGAATTAAAGGCCAAGTTGACATAATTTTTTTATTTAATTTTATTAGCCTAACTCCATATTTTTTTGAGTTATTTGAATCGGTCAAGTTTGTCTCATTTGGATATATACTTGCATATCATCTTCATTTTAATAATTTTATTTGATAAAAGTTATATTTACAAATTTTTTACTTACAAACTATTGCAAACTTAGCTATGTATTTCCAAAAATACATCTTTAAGTGTTTATATTTCCTGAAAATACATGTTTATGTGAATTAAGAATGATTAATTTGTTAACGGTGTTAACAAAAAAGAATTTGAAAATTAAAAAAATTAGAGAATAAAAATCTTTTTTTTTCCATATTTTAATAGCGTACACTAAAATGAATTTTTGTCATATTAATACACACTAAAGAGAAAGGTGTCAAAAATATGATTTTAAATAATGTTTTTAAAATGTATGAGTAAAACTGAAATATATATCAAGGTCAATAAACAAATTATATAAGCACAAGTTATAAATCAAACAAAAACTCTCATAATACCAGTTTTAGCATAAACTGTGGTATATAAAGTGATTTCATAAAAAATAAATAAATATTAAATAAACAAAAGTAATTATCAGAAGATGAAAGTTTTAATATAAAACTACTTTCATTTACAAATTATATTTATTTCCATCATTTAACTATGAATTTATCCGCATGTATCGTACGCATACAAAATCCAAAGATAATCGGAGACGAAGCAGCTAGCAAGCACAAAATCGGTAGCGGTTTATACTTGTCAATACAACAACGAACCAAAAAGATATTACATAAGAATTACGTAATTAAAAAATAAAGTCGACAAAAACAGTTGATACTTCCAACGAACCACATTTCACCACGTGGCGCAATACAAGAGGAATGTGTGGTGGGGCTAGTGTCGAGTCTCGGGACCAGCCAGTATGGTAACAGTACATTGAATTGGAGAAAAACGACGGCGTTTCATAGGTACCACTTGGTGGAGTCTATCATTCATATTATGCATATAAATACGTGTCCAAAGAAGCTTAGAGTCTATCATTCTCTTCTAATCTAATACTTCTTCTGAGTTTGTTCAATCTCTCTCTCTCTCTCTCTCTCTCTTTGATTCCATCATATAAAAATATATATCACAATGTGTGGTATACTTGCTGTTCTTGGTTGTTCTGATGACTCTCGAGCTAAAAGGGTCCGTGTCTTAGAGCTTTCTCGTAGGTAATGATTCTTTTTCTATGTATCTACCTATGTACTTGATGTTAGTATTTGGAGTTTCATTACATGATGAAACAAAGTGTTATGTTCCAGTTATTTTCAACAAACCAACCTCGTTTAATCATAGTTTGTTATTAATTTGTTAAACTGTTACTTTGCTTAGCTTCGTGTATTTTGGTTTACAAGTTCATGCTGAATTGTTCGTACTATGTGTACCACCAGCAAAGCCCTTGTTTTCATGTGCAGTCTATGATCGCGCGTGACTTCATTTATTGGGAGTGACTGATTTAGATACCATGGCACCACTTTTTTTTAATTGACGGGGTTTTGCCGTTTTGGTGATATTGAGAGTTAAATGATGATGATGAAGAATAAATAAGGGACATAAGTGACGTAAGTTCAAATCAAATTATAACCACTGCTTTATATTGTGGACTACATGCCCATCAGTCAGATTTATCATACAAGACTTTGATAAGTGGGCAACTATGAAGTAAAATATGTTTCGATCACATCACTGATTGTTTATTAATTAAGATAAAGAAGTGGGATGTGGGGTCCAGGTTGAAATGCAATTATTGGTTATATTTAGTGGGAAGGGAACAGTCCAAGACAATTGGAAAACAAATAACTAAAAGGGGTTAATCGTTGTCGTAGATCTATACGATATAATTTAAGGTAAATAATTATTACATATTGCATTTTTTTCTTACAACAATAAAAAAAAAAAGTATGAACAATGTTGAAAATATACATTTTTTTTTTTTTGGGGGTAAAGAGTATATGAATATTATTGTCCTTCAATTGAATGGGTCTGTTTCGAAAGTTCAGATTGAATAATCATTGAATATTAATTCTTGTTGACATCACAGACTGAAGCACCGTGGCCCTGACTGGAGCGGGCTCCATCAACACGGTGACTGCTATTTGGCACACCAACGATTGGCTATAGTTGATCCTGCTTCTGGGGATCAACCTCTCTTTAATGAAGACAAATCCGTTATTGTCACGGTATGTCATATGCTAAACATCAATCATAGTTTTCTATGATCCTGTGTTTATTGGTAATTTCAATAAGCAAAACTGGAATCTATACAATAACAGCATGATGTGTTTTGAGGCTTAAGCATAGCTTCTTTTTTAATTGGAAAAACTTGACCAATACTTCAGTGAATTATGATTTACTTCAGAATTATTTATGTTTTTGTAACTTTTTTTTATTATACATGTCCATGTGATTTGCAAGAGGGTATGTTTTTTATCACATATGTCAATATGATTTTTTAATTTTTTATAAAGGGTATGTTTTTTTATTATATATGTCCCTGTGATTTTTTATTTTTTACAAAGCACAGACACATATGTGATAAAAAAATCACAGGGGCATAGGTAACTCTGAAGCAAATCACGTGGGCATTGGTAAACTTTTCTCTTTTTATTTTATTTTTGTTGAAGTGTTATTATTATCGTATCTTATTTTACTAATTTAACGGCACTAAATCGTGATTTGATGATAAATGTCACCACTTAAAAACAGGTAAATGGAGAGATTTATAACCATGAAGAGCTCAGGAAACAACTGCCTAATCACAAGTTCCGAACTGGAAGTGACTGTGATGTTATTGCTCACCTGGTTAGTCAACTTAATCAAACTAAACTTTAGAACATCATATGTTTCAAAAATTGTAATTTCTTCTAAGTCTTGCTAAAAATTTCATCCATTTTTTAGTTATTAATAAGCAGTTAATCATGACTGAATTTGTAGTTCTTGTCAACTTCTTCTTATTTATGTTATTCTTTCCAATAGTATGAGGAACATGGAGAAAACTTTATGGACATGCTGGATGGTATCTTTTCATTTGTTCTACTGGATACCCGTGACAACAGTTTCATAGTGGCTCGGGATGCTATAGGGGTCACTTCACTGTATATTGGTTGGGGATTAGATGGTAATTATGTTAAAATATGTCCCACTTTTGAATTGAACTCATATGTTTTTTAGTTTGTACTCGAACATATTTGAATTGAATAAACTGTGATAAGTTTGACACCTCTCTGGATTCAGGCTCTGTTTGGATTTCATCAGAAATGAAAGGCCTGAATGATGATTGTGAACATTTTGAGTGTTTTCCACCCGGTCACTTGTACTCCAGCAAAGAAAGAGGGTTCCGCAGATGGTATAATCCTCCTTGGTTCTCTGAGGCTATTCCATCAGCCCCTTATGATCCTCTTGCTTTGAGGCACGCCTTTGAGAAGGTATGATTCACACAAGTCTAACTACATCATTGGAATATGAAGTTCATCTAACTGAGATAGCGTATGTGAATTATGTGATTACAGGCAGTCATAAAAAGGTTGATGACTGATGTGCCTTTCGGTGTTCTACTATCCGGAGGTTTGGACTCTTCATTGGTTGCATCCATCACTTCTCGCTACCTGGCAAACACAAAGGCTGCTGAACAGTGGGGATCAAAATTACATTCATTCTGCGTAGGCCTTGAGGTGTATATCTATTCAAAATTTTGAATGACTTAGAAAATTTAGAGGATTCTTTTTTCTTTTTCTTTTTTAAAGTAAAACCTTTAATGTTATCTTAATCTTAGTCAGCTTATTTTTGAGTAGGGCTCACCAGATCTGAAGGCTGGAAAAGAAGTTGCAGACTATCTAGGAACTGTCCACCATGAGTTTCACTTTACTGTTCAGGTATCTACGTCAAATAGTACTTTTCAACGCACAATTTGGGGCCCTTCAATATATAAAAATCAGAATCAGTAATCAGTTATATATGGTGTGAGCAGGATGGCATAGATGCCATTGAGGACGTTATCTACCATGTTGAAACATATGATGTGACTACAATTAGAGCAAGCACACCTATGTTTCTTATGTCTCGAAAGATTAAATCACTTGGTGTCAAATGGGTAATCTCTGGAGAAGGATCTGATGAGATCTTTGGCGGGTATCTCTATTTCCACAAGGCACCCAACAAGGAAGAGTTTCACAAAGAAACATGTCGCAAGGTTATATATTTGTCTTGCTTATCGCCAGTACAATATAATGGGCTAAAGTACAAGGGCTAATAGTTATGTTTTTTACATACAGATCAAAGCACTCTACCAATATGATTGCTTGCGAGCCAATAAGTCAACATTTGCTTGGGGTCTAGAAGCCCGAGTACCATTTTTGGACAAGGAGTTTATCGATGTTGCAATGAACATTGATCCTGAGAATAAAATGGTATGGGCAAAGAATGTGACTCGGTTGCTTCATCACTTAAAATTAAGAGAATTTTATTAAGCTGGTTTAATATTTGATATTTTCAGATAAAACGAGAAGAAGGACGAATTGAGAAATGGGTTCTGAGGAAGGCCTTTGATGATGAAGAGAATCCTTATCTGCCAAAGGTACTGTGATATTTGCTAAAATGTCTAAAGATCTTTGCAAAATTAATTGGTCAAAACTAACATCGGGACATTTAATTTCATGCAGCACATTTTATACAGACAGAAAGAACAATTCAGTGATGGTGTTGGCTATAGTTGGATTGATGGCCTTAAAGCCCACGCTGCAAAACATGTACCGAATAGAACCTTTTCTCTATAATTCAGTGATGGAGTTGGCTATTTTCATAAAATTACTGTTGCTTATAATTGGTTCTTGACATTTTTCAATAGGTGAATGACAAAATGATGCTTAATGCTGGTAATATCTTCCCCCTCAACACCCCAAAAACCAAGGAAGCATATTACTATAGAATGATCTTTGAGAGGTTCTTCCCTCAGGCAAGTTAACCAATCAAATTCTTAATTTGAAACCAGGAGAAAAAATACTTTAACAGGGGCTGATTCAAGTATTTAATGTCCCTTAATTTGGTTTTGCAGAACTCAGCCAAGCTCACTGTTCCTGGTGGAGCAAGTGTTGCATGCAGCACGGCCAAAGCTGTTGAGTGGGATGCTGCCTGGTCCAACAACCTTGATCCTTCTGGTAGAGCAGCACTTGGAGTGCATGTTTCAGCTTATGAAAACCAGAACAACTTGGTCAACAAAACTGTAGAATTTGAGAAGATTATACCTATTGAAGCCCCTCCTCTTGGTGTTGCCATACTGAGCTAGTATGAGACATGGCAAGGAATCATTGCGCGACAATGAAGATTAATAAAACTTTCACGTGAATGAAAAATATGCCTGCTGTATAATTTTATTCGGGCAATGCTTTATGTAGATTAGGCTTTCAAAAAGTGTCGCATATTTTATTACTTTGAATGCTGTGATTTGAACTCTTATCTTACTACATCGTGTTTCGAAGCTAAGTGTTTCTTTTATGAGTTCATTATGAATGCAAAATCCATCATTTCAGTAATTTTCCGTTGACATATTCTTCATGACATATCAACGAAAAAAACAAAGAGAAAAACTCAACCTACGCTTAAATTAAAAGCATATGATTATCAAGTCTCAAGGGCTTTTGAGTTCGAAACTTATGAATAGAAAAAAAAAAAATAATCTCGAGAGTACGGCATATTCCTAGAAGGGATTTGCATTTATCGTTTAACATGACACAAGAAAGTTTCTTACACACACAACATTAATTACGTTTGCAATGAATCGGTTAAAAATAAAAAAATAAAAAAATTAAGTCTCGAGATATTGAGAAGAAAACGACTCACCATAGGACGATTACACTCAAACTATTATTCAACATGCAAATGATTACAGAAACATAATAAAAAATAAAAAATAAAAATTCTAGACAACTTTAAAAATATTTTTATACATGTTAAATAACAATATAAATGCCCAAAAAACGATGATATACTCATTGTGATCAGGAGCAGTGGTTAACAGAGACTAGCTAAGCCCAGTGGTAGCTGGAGGACACTTGTGGTTGTAACAAACAGGCCCACACGACAGCCCAAGCATCCTTGACATCTGAAGGATTACATAACAGGCTAAAGGACCATCTAGATAGAAGCCCATTATCTTAGTAGAAAGGTTTCGTTTCAAATTGGATTACCGGTTGTAACTTGTAACCTAGGAATTATCTTGAGAGTGTTATTTCAATTATTTAGATTGGGATTATCTTGAATTTATCAGATTAGTATTATCGTAGAGAAATTTGCACTAGTGAATTTCTTGAGTCAATAAATAGGACCTTTGTTATGAATAAATATATCCTGAATTTAGTTCATCTTTCTCCCTTTAATTTCCTCTTCTTATCCCTTCGTTACTCTTCCTCCCTCTCACCCTGCTTCATTGGTGCCCATTTAAAAGTCCAAAGAAATGCAGAGCCTAATCCTAAATTGTTATGTCTAAATCGTGGGCAAGTTTTTGAGCCTATTCTAAATCCCAGTACTCGTTGCAAAGAAATTAATTATTGACAATAGTATTCAATAATTCAGATAGTCCAACTATAAAATGTAAAATATAATTAGACAATAGTATTTTCACATATTTCGATTTATGAAAAGGATTTCATTTCTCAATAAGAGGAGTGATTATTAGGACCTCGAAGTGGCCGACCCAAAATTCACATGATAACAAAAGAAAACTGTATACACAACAAGCAAATGGAAAGGAACCCAAAAAACCAAAGTCACGTAAAAACCTTTCACTTCTGTTTCTCTCTAATTACCAAAATTTCACATCAAAACCCCTCTACTCTAAATGGGGGCAAAATCATCTATATATCATCTGTACAGTCACCGATGAATGAATTAAATGGTATACCTTTCCGTGCTTACTGTATATATGACCGCATGCTATTACTGTACAAATTTTCTCCTTCATCGGGAGATGAATGAAAAATGCCACACAAATCAGGGGCGCTCCTCGCCGGAATTCTTCGCCGGCCGAGAAACCGGTCCAGCCGACGACCTGAACCCTACTATTACCTCGTCATTCACGCACGGATGAAAACCGCCATCAATCCCCGTCCCCTTCGCCCTCATACACTCTTCGCACACCGCTCTGCCGCCTCCTCCGCCGCGGTTCGACGCGACGGTACCATTGTTGATTCTGTTCACCCAGAACGACTCCCTTTGCATCTGAAAACTCCTCACCCTGTTCTCGTACCCGACGCGATCCAGAATCGGAGGCCTGAACCCGGAAAGTTCTTGCGGTTGTTCTTTGACGCCTCCGTTGGCGGCGTCCCGGCCCAGGAGAGTGACGTTCTCCGGCAGGATCTTCTTGTCCATGTTCGAGTTCTTGCGGGAGTCTTTTTGGTTTGTATTATTCTTTAAGAGAAGACCCTTTAACTTCTAAAAGTGGATATCATATGAATTATACGAAGGTTTGGTGTTTGTAATTTAAATAATAATACTTTAAGTTATGTCATTTTAGAAGAGAGTTAGGAGAGAGATAGACACATAAAAAATGAAAATAATGGGAGAGAGAAATTGAGCGGTTTTTTTTTTAATTTAAAATTCAAATTTTATCTCCTTAAAATGACAAACACTTTTCCTTTATATGAATTCAAATTTTTTATTTTATATTACGTTTATGAGAATAGATCCACTTATCACCAAAAAAGTTTACAACTCTTACAATCAATTTAATCATTGATTTTCATCAATCTAACGATTATAATTTATTGTGAATTAATAAATGTGACACAATTAATGTTATTAATTTTCAATAAATTATAACCGTTAGATTGATGAAAATCAACGATGATTAAATTGATTGTAAGAATTGTAAACTTTTTTTGGTGGTGAGTGGATTATCCCCTATGTTTATTTAAGGGTATATTGAGGATTTTAAAAGATTTTTATGAGATAAAAAATCTTATAAATTATAAAAGACTATTTAAAATTAAAGAAATTTTAAATAAAAGATATACAACCAAGATTTCGTAAGATTGGATATTTTAAAGAATTTTAATAGAATTTATAAGATTTGAAAGGACAAGATAAATTTATAAAATCTTAAAAAATTATATGAATTTTAACAAATATTCTAAATTACAAGAATAAAAAAAGAAAAATCACATATAATTTTCTCAATTAGTAAAATTCATAATAAAATATGTTTGAATTTTTTTTCAATTTACCTTGAAAAACTTAGGGTTTTTGTTCTACCTAACGAGAGTTTTCTAATAATATATCACATGCATGTTTTCATTGAGTATTCTAAGAAAATTTTGAATCTGAATTTCTGAATTTTATTATATGAAAGATAAGAAAATTTCTCAAATTATTTTCAATCGATACATTAAAACCTTAAATTACTTTGAGGCTTTTGAAAAACCAATTTTTAGTAATCTATTGACGCAAATTTTTTTTGAAATCGTTTCCTAAAGCGAAAGAATTTCGTTCATGAATATATTGTTATGAAACATAGGGTTCATGTTATGAAAGTTTTAATCGTTCTTTAAATGGATCTTGTTTCATTGATATAAAATGAAAATTGATTTGAGGATTTTTGTTCCTCTATTATTTTCCAACTTTTTAAAGTTGTCATTAATATAAAAATTACACATTTTTGTGCTAAGAAAAAATGTGACCAATAGCTTAAAAAAAATTATTTTTTAAACTTTCAAAAATTGCTACAAAAATTTGTTATTTTGTGATGAAAATCGCTCACAAATCTAATGTTTTTGAGCTTTAGCGAAGTTCTCATGGTGGAACCTGTTTCATGCGGGTCCACCCACTAAATGAAAGAAGAATACACTACAATAAAAGAAATCTCAAGAAATTCCAGGGATTAGGGTGAGATTGTGAGAGTGACATCCTATTTATATTTTTACTAAAAAGTTTCACGAAATCCACCCAAATAGAAAATTCATTAAAATCGTCAGATTTTTAAATACCTCAAGATTATTTCTCCTTTGTTTAAAATTACGATTAAATACCAACGGATTCTAAGATAATCTTTTAAAATACTAATTAAATATCACATTGCTTCTTTTCAATCAGTTAAAATATTAATGTATACCAACGGGTTTTTTTGTCCAAAAATAATCCATTAAAATCCTTTAAAATTTCAATCCAATACAACCCCCTTAATTCCACAAATAAGGGCGGTGATGATCGAACTCGTGACCTCGTGGTCAAGAAAGCTCTGATACCATATAAAGAACCAATTCCACCCAAAACTTTAAATTGTTGAGTGTGGATTTTTTTAATAATTATATTTTTAATGGTTTATATTATTTTCTAACATCGATATATTACACACCACTTGACAACTCTTCATGGTACAAAATATTCCCTTTGAATAATTCTAAATCCCCCTATGTAATAAATAAAGAAAATAATTTTTTTAATTTCTCAATATATTAAACATATTTGTTTTTTGAGAAAAATATTTGTTCTTTTAAAGGATATATAGTTGTATCATTTTAAGTACGAAAAAAAGACACAACTTAGTATTTTTTATTTAAAATTAATATTTTAAAAAAATAACTACTTTCTCTTCCGTAATTTTCATTACGTCTTTTTCTCACTTAAAATGATATAATTTTATATTCTTTAAAAGAAAAAAAAACCAAGAAGATTAACGTGGCACAACCCATTCAATTATCATTAGTATAGATTCGGTATAATATCGATAAGAAAATTTGAATTTTAATAAAACGGTGGAAATGAAAGTATGGAACAGCCCGATATGGAACCCTCTTTTAAGGCCCCAGCGGTGGAATTGTATCAGTCTTGAAATTAAATTAAATTAGTGAGTTAGGATCCTACTATACTTCAAATTAAATTAAAAGGAAATAAATCAATCATTACTCAATTTAAAGACAACAAGTATTATAAATGATTTTATGCAAAAGTGTTGCAATTATGCAACCCTCAATAAATGCATCACCTACTAAAAATTATAAAAAGAAGAGTGCAATAAAGCATGTTAATTAGCTAGTAAAAAAACACAATTTAATGAAATAAAGCAGCATAGAATAATTGATTCCAAGTATCTGGCAATCCAGGAAGGCACCAATGGCTGCAATCAGCTGAGATGTCAGGGTTAGCTCTCTGCTTAGCACTCAAATCACCACTGTAAATGGAGGGGTGCCCATCTTTCCTCAGTGCTGATAGCATTGTGATGTTCAGAAGATATGCAGGGTTTCTCATTTCTCCAATCACCATTTCCACAACCCTCATCTGCTCCGGGTATGCTCCGGGGTATTTTGTGCCACTAATAGGTGCTGTTTCACCATAGCAATTCTTTGTAGTCATCATGGTTGACCCACCAGCATTCCATTCGTTTGGGCTGCGTATCAGTGCAATTCAGTTTTAGTGTGTGTTCAATTTTGTTACAGAAAATAGAGACTAGCTTAACCTTACAATTAATGAAGTTATTACTTAATAGCTTCTACAAGTATAAGATGTTAGTATGTTACTATCAAAATTGATAAACATAAATAAAGCTTATTGATGTAAAATCCTAAATGGGTTAATGCTACTCATATTACTTGGAAAGTATAGTGGTTTTGAAGCCAGTCACAAAACTAAAGATTTCGTTTATTTTTGGTTCATACTCAAAACTATGTCACAGCCCTCTGCTCCATGTGCTATCATAAAATTATTCTGTGCTTAGTCCCGGAAATTTTCATATTATAACTTACAAAAAAGTAGAGGTGGCTGGGCGGCCCGCCCAACTCCGCCTTTCTCCGTCATCAACCCGTCAAAAAATGAGTCAGCCCGCCTCGCTTTTGAAAGTGGGCTGAAAAACTCAGCCCGTACCATTCCATTTGGCAGGTTGGGCCCTATTTTACACTGACTCGTATTGGCCCGCTTATACCCGCCGTCAACCCGCCAAAAAATGAGTCCATCCCACCTTGCCCCACTTTTGAGATGGGTTGAAAAACTCAGCCTGTCCCGTCCCGTTTAACGGATTGGGCGGATTGACCCGCCGAGCCGAGCCGAGCCCGTTTTGTCGCTTATAAAAAAAAGTTTTAGCTTGACTAGAAATTTCTTGGGCGTGATTTATTTGAGATAGCACCAACAAGCCCATATATTTCAACCTCCAGATATATAGAAGACTTAACTTGCTATGAGCTTTGTGCAAGTTGGCAAAGCCTGGTCAACAGAAAGGTCCCATTCCCAGGCCCAAAAGCAGATCATCATATAAAGCCCAAATGGGAAAATGAAATTTAGTTTAACTTGACGAGGAAATTTGGCATGAAGTGTCTGATCAATTATTATTCGTCAAAATGATTCAATCAATTTTTTTTTAAAAATAAAATAAAATAAATTCCTTTTAATTAATTATAAATATGAAAGTGTTGGTTCATAGTTAATTATAAGTAGAGTATTACTTAGATAGAACCAAAATGTCTTTCTTTTACATTAAGCAAAAATAAACTCTGTTTTTCAAGGCAAATTTCTGGGATTTAGGAGCCGCTACTCCAACAAAATTATTATTATTATTATTATGAAGCCTAGAAATCCCATAGTCAGTTCAACACAATAATGTAAGAGAGAGAAAGCAGTTCATGATAATAGAGAGACAATAGAGTCCATACTTGTAGTGTGTGGGAGAAATTGACTGGAAGAACACTTTGGTTCTGCTTCTATCAATATTGGTGTCCACCCAATTAGCCCATGTTTTCAGACCTCTTTCCAAAGCTGCCATGCGATCCATGTCCGGGTAGGATTTGCCTCCAAATTCTACGTAATCCCACCTGCACTCAATTACCCAAAAAACCAAATTACTTTAAAACTCAAAGAAAAAAAAGGAAAACCCAAAATTAATTTTTTTTAGTGAACTTAAAATAAAATAAAATAAAAATGTGAAGATAATTTTGGGGACGGTGGCCAAAGTGCCACTGTTGGAAAAAAAAAAACACTAAAATATCACGTCAATAGTAAATTTTACCAAAATGTCACGTGACATATTTCGTTACACTGTGTAGCGAAATACGTGTGCAAATATTTCGCTACACGGTGTAACGAAATATGCCACTTCAGAACAAAAAATGACACGTGTCAAATAGGGTGAATTTCGCTACACAGTATAACGAAATTCTCCCTGTCTGACACGTGGCATTTTTGGTTCTGCGCATTCTGACGCAGCATATTTCGCTACACCGTATAGCGAATTATTTACACACATATTTCACTACACTGTGTAACGAAATATGCCATGTGTCATTTTGACAAAATTTACAGGGGCATTTTGGTGTTTTTTTTTTCAAAAGCAGCACTTTCGCCACTGTTCCGATAATTTAGCCTACCCCTTAAGAGATCCTTGATGAGTCCACCAATGCCCTGTGTTAAACGACAGCACATCAGCGCTTCTCCATGCATTACCATTCCCATCTACCACTTCCAGCCTTAAAATTCTCTTCCCTTGGACCACATCGATTTCTACCAAATAAGGAGCTCTATAAAATGAAATGCTCACACCATTATCCTGCATATTCCATATCAAACCAAATTTAGTTCTCTAGTGCAGCTCAATAATGCTTCTTTTTTCGGCAGTCTATTTTCTACAGGGTAAAGCCTGAAGATGATGTGGCTGCAGTTTGCATCAACTTCACAAATTTAATGCCTGACAGTAATTTTAGGGCCCCTTGCTAAGAGATTCTTGCATAAGACAGCATACTATTGGACCCTAACATCTCATGTCTTAATTTACACTATCTTACAAACACTTTTCCAACAGATTCTTTGTCATATTACAAAAAAATATATATGACCCTAATGAAACTTAACAAAGAGGAAAACAAGAAGAAGGATCCGTTTACAATTTTTTTTTTTTTTACAAGTTATACTAAGTATGATCGGTCATACACTCAATAATATAACCGATTAGACATAGTGTAATTTGTAAGAGTTTGTAAACAAAAAGTTTGTAAATATAATCTTTTCCGAGAAACAAAACAATTTATTGCGGGGGAAAATTGCATTGTTCTTAGCTCCTATTTACCTTTTCCTTTTGAACTAAAATCTAAATCTTACCAAGAAAAGACCTGGGTAACTGGCATTATGGGCTAAATCTTACTGGGAATGAAAACAATGTGGAAAATCTCACCAAGAATCTGAAGGTTGAAAGAGGATCTCCATTGACCAGTTGTGTTCGTGCCTGAGGTGTTGCAGCAGATAGCATACAAATCAAAGACTCCCATTGGTTCCTTCCCAGCGAGTCACCCACGAACATCACGGTTTTGCCTTTCATCTTCATCAGAAAATCAACCCCATTGAACCTACCATGACATAACGCCACAAAACTATATTCAGATTATGTTGAACATGCATACTAGATTATATTATATCAGACATTACAAATTCAGCAGAAAATGCAGAGACATTAAAGAACACAACAGTAACACAATATCAAGGTACGAGAGTGTCTAATTTTTATATGAACATGTCATATGATGAATCCAAGTACTAGTAATTGATTTAAATATTTCTTCCTTTTCGTTTCACGAACCTTATTATTAAAATTATAATAATCATTATTAAATAACTAATATTCATCACATAATATGATCACATGAAAATTAAATATGAGAGTATTCCCGCTCGTCATAGGACACGTTCTCTTTTTTGTCCTATTGTGTTATGTTACGTCTAGTGTTGTTGTTTGTTTGTACCTTGGGAGCTCGCAATGGAGGGGCTTCCAACGGTATTTGAGGTAACCAGAATCTGGACGACCGTACATTTGGCAATTGAATCCTGGGTCTATGATTGGACACCTAGAAGATTGGTAAAGTGGGTATGTTTCATCACGCACCCAAGTGCCCACGAACAATGAACAAGTGCTTTCGTTGACTTGGACCATTGGTCTCTGCTGTTGGAAGAGGTTACGGTGACGTCTCAAGTTTAACAGCGGAGACGAAGAAGCTACTTGGCATTGAAGGGAAAGTAGGAGAAGAAGAGCGAAGAATGAGCACAAAACACCACAAGAAGATTGAGAGCAAAGAAGGGCCATTGTAGAATCTAATAAGAGAGAAACTAAGAACAGAAGAGAGACGCAAACAGAGAAACCATAAATAGGTAAACTGTTTTCAAATATATATATGAAGGATTGGGCTTTCGAGTCTTTCAGAAACCTTGAAGAGATTTTAGAAAGATGAACGTCGCCGCCATGCAATTTTAAGAAAACATAAAAAGAATCTCACCATATCTTATATTTTAAGTATGTTGCATGATTTTTTAGGATTTTTTTTTATTTCCTTAAATTTTATGATTTATTTCTTGATTTCAGAGTTTCCAAATCAATATAAATAGAAATTAATGCTTTGACTTTTATAAGACAAACTAACGTTTTAAATTAATACTGATTTTATATTCTTTTATTTAATTTTCATTCTCTTTTTCTTCCCTCCCTATTTAAATCTTTGTAATTCAACACTAACATGGTTTTTTTAATGGGGTCCATACTCCATTATTATATTTAGTGTTTTGGGAATGTCGACCCGGTAACGGAACTTAATAGTGTACAACAACTTGAAGTCGCACATTATTTCAAAACTAACACATGTTTGGTATGCTCTATAATTAAGATTGGATAGAATAAGCTTATATAATATATTATAATATTTTTAATTATTTGTTAGGATTATCGTATAGTATAATTTTATATAGTAAAAAATTTTAATACATTAAAATGATGTACAACTTAATTCGATCTCTAAAGAGGTAGAATTAGACCTGATAAGATATTAATATATTAACATCATTAATCAGTGCAATTCTCAGGAATTAATATTTTATTTTATATTAAAATAAAAAATATTTTTTCAATATATTAATTTTTAAAATATTGAAAAATTTTATTTTTATAAAAATTAATATGTTTATTTGGACATACTGATAAACATATTTTTATAAAAATTAATATCATATGATATATATGAAAAAATTATATAAATTTTTTATTAAAGAGTATTTTTATCAAAAATACTTATTTTTATCCTATCTACTATTATACAATGCATTACTAAATATTAGATAATATTATCTTATACAATATTATGTCAAATGTTGTAGAATATTAAAATTTAATCAAATTTTATACCATCAAATTTTATACAACCAAACCTTATCCGATAACTCAATGGTGTATCGTGCGAAAGTAATATCAAGATCAAGATATGAAATTAACTTCATTACTTTGGCACATCATTTTCTAAGCGTACTGAGGCGATAAATTTTATTTTTTCTAAAATGGCCAGTCTGAAACCAAATATTCTTGAACTGGCACGTAACACTCCACGTGCCAAACATGTCTCATTTTACTACCACAGTGTGTTTTACTAATTTAAGGAGGATCCGCCACTATGCCATGCTGATGATGCATTGCTGCATCAAGCCATCAATCAACTCAAAATTGTCAACAACCCCTTTCCGTGAAAGCAGCCCCCACTTTATTATCTCAGTCAGGTCAAACTGATCCAGCCCACATCTTTGGAGACCTTCTTCAATAATTCCCTTACACACCAATCTCCCTTTTCCGATGCAATCTCGTATATGATATCATCGTAAACCACAAAACAAAAAAAAAACAGGTTTCATCTCAGTTTCACACGCTCACCAATGGCCTGGTTCAGAAGCCTCACCAAGCATACTGCTTTTCATCTCAGCAGACCCAGAAACACAGACCCTTTTCACCTTTTGCCACCTTTCACTACTTTTCTCTCTCACTTCAGCAGCACCGTCGCGGAGGAGAGCCCCTCTTCCGGTTCAGCTGCTCCGGTTCCGTATGCCGGTTTGGGACAAACGAAGCCCCACGAGAAGCCACGGGTGGTGGTGCTGGGTTCCGGTTGGGCCGGGTGCAGGCTCATGAAGGGGTTGGACCCTGAAATCTATGACATTGTTTGTGTCTCACCTCGCAACCACATGGTTTTCACCCCTCTCTTGGCTTCAACCTGCGTTGGTACTCTCGAGTTTAGATCCGTTGCTGAACCCATTGCAAGGATCCAACCCGCTATTTCCAAGGAACCCGGTTCTTATTTCTTCCTTGCTAATTGTACTTCCATCGATGCTGATAAGCATGAGGTATGTTAACTTGTTTTCTTTCATGGTGCATGTATGTTTTCTTCTGCTCAAGTTTTTTTTTCAGTTTCATGGTATGTTTGATCTGGGGTACTGCATACTCCGATGTTGGAACTTGGAAATTTTCATATGGTTTAGTTATTGCGGAAAAAAAAAAAAGAGTTTTTGAAAGATCTCAGTGGATAATAGGATTGAAGTTCCTCAAAGAATTCAATTGTAATATTGTGAGTTCCTGGTTGGGGGTTCAAAAATTAGCATGTCATGGCATAAATATGTAATGATTTTTGTTTCATAGACCTTTGGAATGGTAGATTTTAGAATTTTATTTCAGTTTTTCAAGTTAATGCAATTCTTTGTAAGAAGAATGGTGGAAGCGATTGAATTGAGCATGATGTGGTCACTTGATAATGGACATGTATGGTCAATATGCATATCGTAAAACCATTAAAACGCACCTCACAGTAAATGGATTTATGCAAATTTTTGTTTTTCGAAAGAGTCCAACTGTGCAGTTTGATCCTATTGGTCTACCCTACTTATAAAGATTGGTTATGGTTGTGTTGGAACTAAAACTGTCTAAGCAGTGACTGGAACTAGAAATTGCAATGAAAATTCAATTACATATAGATTTCTTACTCTTTCTCCCTCTCCTCTGAACAAAATGGTATGATCCTAGTAATAAGCTGTTGGTTCTCATAATGTGGCTGAATTTGGGAGAATCTGAAACTTGGTTTTGAAGGTGCAATGTGAGACTGTAACTGAAGGAGTGCAGACACTAGATCCATGGAAGTTTACAATATCATATGATAAGCTAGTAATTGCATTAGGAGCACAACCCACAACTTTTGGAATTCATGGAGTCCATGAACATGCAATTTTTCTTCGTGAAGTTCACCATGCACAGGAAATTCGTCGGAAGTTGCTCCTGAACTTGATGATGTCTGATGTTCCAGGTTTATGATAATTTTGCTATAGTATTATTAGCTTGATATGAATTCATTTGAAAAAAAAAATTGTTTGTTGTACATTACCTCTGTAATCTGTATTTTTTATTTGGATAAAGGGATTACGGAAGAGGAAAAACAAAGGCTGTTACACTGTGTGGTTGTGGGAGGAGGTCCCACAGGAGTTGAATTCAGTGGTGAATTAAGTGATTTTATCATGAAAGATGTCCGCCAGAGATATTCTCATGTGAAGGACTATATCCATGTTACTTTAATTGAGGTATGCTTAGTTGCATTAGATATGTGATTGGTAAAACCAAATAGACTGTATAGTTGTTATGGCAACAAACGTTTTGCTCTTGCCGTTGTATATATCCAATATCCAGCAATTCTAGCCAACATAATGGTTAGAAAAACCTAACAGTTCCTGGAAGCCATTTTTGTTGTAATAAATCATCATGTTCTCAATGCCAAGAATGTCTTTTAAGTTAATTTGTGCTGTTAACCAAAATTATTCATGCCTTTTTAGGCCAATGAGATATTATCCTCCTTTGATGACCGACTCAGGCGCTATGCCACCGCGCAGTTGACAAAGGTGAGCTATATGTTGAAACTTGAAAGAGTTTCTTTACTGTTTGTTCAATATGTTCCTGTTGATTTTAAACTTCTGAATATCATATGAAAAAAATAAATTCTGCTTTCCGAATGAAGAAAATTAGTCTATGGTATTAATTGCGAAAAGACCAAATATAATCATGATACAACGTTTCTAGCAGAGGTATTTAGAATCCTTCATATAATTGCTGGGACTCTTCATCTTAGTGCAATCAGTATGCTGAAAACTGATTGGCAGGTTAGCTGTTAAAATTTTTCACAATTAGTTTAATATCCCCTCATATTGAAGTTTCTATCAGTCAGGAGTTCGACTTGTTCATGGCATTGTGAAAGATGTGCAAGATCAGAAGATTATCCTTAATGATGGTACCGAGGTTCCATATGGTTTGCTGGTATGGTCTACTGGAGTTGGTCCATCGCAAATTATTCACTCTTTGGATCTCCCTAAATCTCCTGGTGGAAGGTTGTTCTTGTACTTCAATATAGCTGCATTTATTTATTTCCATTGACAACCTTTGTAAATTTACAATTTGGCAGCTGATTTCTCTTTAGATATATAGTATTTTGATCTGAGTTATCAGGAAAGGCAGGATCATGTTAGTCCAAAAATTACTGTATTAGCCTAAAGCAAATTGTGACAGTTTTCTCATTGCAGGATTGGCATTGATGAATGGCTTCGTGTTCCTTCAGTACAGGATGTCTTCTCAATAGGTGACTGCAGTGGATTTGTTGAAAGTACTGGAAAACCAACACTTCCTGCTTTAGCCCAAGTAAGTGATATTGGGTTGATTGATTAGTTTCTCCTAACATACACTTTCATTTCTTAAATTCCTGCAATATTTGGTTTTGGTTTTACAGTAAGTTCTGAGTCTCTGACACATTTCGTACTAAATGTATTACTTGTATGCTTAGTGGTGGTAGTGGTTCATGGATGAAGTGGTGTGGCATGTTTCTTCTTTGCCTGATAGCTTGTGCTTGTGAATTTAATGCATTGCCATTTGAATTCCACAGGTGGCAGAGAGGCAAGGTAAATATTTAGCTAACTTATTAAACAAAATAGGTAAGGCCGATGGAGGGCGTGCAAACAGCATAAAAGACATAGACTTTGGGGATCCGTTTGTTTACAAGCACCTAGGTAGCATGGCAAGTGTTGGCAGTTATAAGGCTCTAGTGGACCTCAGACAGAGCAAGGTGATTTTTATCATTCATGAGCTTTTGCTTGTGCTTTAAAAACTTATATATAGTTTGATTTACTCATGTATTATCTATCTCCTACAGGAAGGGAAAGGGTTATCTCTGGCAGGTTTTATTAGTTGGTTTGTTTGGCGCTCAGCATATCTTACTCGTGTCATCAGCTGGAGGAACAGATTCTATGTAGCTATCAACTGGGCTACAACTTTTGTGTTTGGCCGTGATATAAGCAGAATATGAAAATTTTAAGGTAAACACACTTTCAGCATGTTTATGAACTGTTCTCAAAAGCTAACCCTCTCCATTTTTATGTAATTTTTTATTTAGGCTTAGAAATGTTGATAGGGCCTTCAGATTGTGCTTTTCTTTATTGGTTGCATTGCTTTGCAGGTTATTATTAAAACAATAAGAGGATGATGAAATTCAATTTGGTAGAAACAGCAAGTAATTCTCAAGAGATGAATTTCAGTTCGCTAAACAGCAAGGATCTGTACTTGTTCATGATATTTGCTACATGTTCAATTTGGTAGAAACAGTGGCAGTGGAAAAGAGGTTACACGAGTGTTAGCTCAAAAGGGAAGACAATAAATTTGGCCGTCTTTGGCCTTTCATTCATAATCAAAAGTGTATACACGTCATGATTCAATTTGCAGCATCTCGTATATTGCTTATCACCAATAAACCAATTTTCATGTTTATATAAACTGTTCACCAATTGTACGATCACAATAATAATAATATATTATGTCAATAGATTCTTTGGGTGGAAAAGTTGGTCATATGTGATTCTTGCAACTAGTACGGGTCCTTCCTAGGGTGTGAAAAAAATTAAATGAATCGAGCTGAATTGTGAATTGATATGAACCTTGAATTATTATTTTTTTAACCAGATCAAGAATCGAATCATTTTTTCTTTGAGTTGGTTTCTAATCATATTTTCAAAACATGAAACGAATTACTTTACCAATTAAAAGTTAAAAAAAACCAAATGAACCAAAGTATAATATTTTTTCGAATCGATTCAAAAATCGAATTACTTTTAAAACCGGTTTAATTTGTCCAAACCAAACCACTTTTTTACTTAGATTTGATGTAGAAAACCAAATCAAACCCTACACACCCCTACGGCCCTACCTCCCATTTCAACTGCCGATGATATCCGTGAAAATCAAAATCAATTTTACACAAACAAATAACTTTATAAAATGAGATTTTACGAAATCACCACCTATGTAACACTGATACCGACACAGGACACGTGACACGATACGACACGACACTCTGACACGTTAATTTTAAAAAATGTTAAATTTCGACACGCTAGGACACGTTTTGATAGTAAATAATATTTTTAATTTATGTAGTGTATATTATATTTAATATTCAATAATTTAACAAAAAATGAATCTAAACTTATAATATTCATAAATTTTACAAAGAAACATAAGATATCACAAATATTTATATTAAACTCAATAAAATAGTAATCGTAATCCAACCAATCTAATAGTTGAAACTAAAAATTCAACACAATACAACCTTTAAACCTTTTTTTGAATTTCTATAACGCATGTTGGAGTGTCAAGGAGTGTCGGAGTGTCCGAGAGTGTCGGACACGACACGTCGGGGGTTTTGAAGTATCGGTGCTTCATGGGTCGCCACAACTGAATAGTTGTACCGTGCAAATCATATTCACGAAATTGTGCTTAAAGAAGTCGTTATTACAACTTACACACAGGATCATTACTGAAGTTTTCATTTCTTTAATCTATTGTTTCTATCATTAGTATCTCGATATGCATGTACTTTCCATTGCTCATTCATGTTTAACTTTGTTAGAGTACCTTGATATAGTTTTATCAACACATTTCTATAACACGTCTAGCTTATGGGTCTTCTACTTTGACACAGTAATGTAGCCTAAATTGCCTTTTCCTATCCTTCGATTTTTCAAGTAGTAGATGGAGTTACTAGAGCTGATAACAAGAAGATGGCAGAATGTCGAAAAAAGTAGAATGAGAGTGTAAGCCATGCCTATCACAAAGTTCAATTAACTGAGTTTGCCTTCAGCAGCTACTTGGTTCTTTCAATACAGAAAGTTCATGTTCCAGGATAAACACCTGAAAACCTTACAACGTGATATTCCTATGATATCTGTATACCAGTCTCTACTTCACAATGCAATGGCAGGTCCGGGTACATCATTTATACCTGTTCAAAATACATCATTTATACCATTGGCAAGTCTAGAATTTGCAATCTTTTTGCTAATCAGATCCTTCAACTCTATCTCTCCTGGAAACCTTCCCTCCTTCAGTTTAGAGAACAACTTCAAGGGCAGAAGAGTTTAAAGTAGTTAATAATAATTCAAAAGCATTGAAGATGGCAAGATGCCATTTATTTACCTTACCTGTCATCTAACCACCATCTTAGTAAGGCAGGGAGGCCAGAGGGGAGTTAAAAATTGGTTCAGATAAGAACTTTTTAAAAAGAAAAGAAAACACGTTTATTCAAGATTAATTTGATATTGGTCCATTTCTTAGGAGTTATACAAATAAACCCTACAGTAATGATCCCACAAATTATATAATTCAAAACACTGAACACAAGAAACCTAATGATCAAAATAATATGTTGCAAAACCAAATACCCAATTAGTTGAAAGTTGAACGCAAGGTGGGAAAAAGCTCTCCCCCCACTACCTAGAAAAAGCATGAAGACATAATTTTAATCTGAAAGTAGAACTTCCAAACTACGCAAGTTTATGTAAGCATTTCAAAGGGAAGGACCACCATGGAGTCATTTGGCATAAAGTAACAAAAATGTTTCTCGTTTAGCTGAAGTGGAGGATAAGCCCCAATCCCCCAGGGTCTGCCCACACTATCTCATAATATATTGCCCAGAAATCTTAAACTAGCTGAAGTGGAGGATAGGCCCCAATCCCCCAGGGTCTGCCCACACTATCTCATAATATCTTGCCGTAGAAATCTTAAACTAGTTTGTGTTAGTTAAATACAATATCACCCAATAAATATGCATTCAACAACAAAATACAGCCCCCTGCAGAAAGAATGATAAGAATGCAACTAGTAGCTAAAAATAATGATGGTGCTAACATATTACATGATAGTGGCTAAAATTTTCCCAGTGAATATTCAGCTAACAGGGAAAATCAAGTGAAGTGGTAAAAATGTTGATAAACTAGTCATATGAGACACCTATCCAATTATGATTGATTACATGTGCTACCAAAGAGTCACAAAGCATAACAAAACTTGCATTCACTGGAGAGAAAGATTAGAGGCTCAACTAGCAAAGAAATGTTTACTCATATATATAAGAAAAATGAAAGATAGAAGGAAGGCACCAACCAGTTCACCATTGAAGTAAACTTCAAAGGCCCCGGAACTCTGTAAGAATGACTGCAAGGTATTCCCAAGAAGCCAGGTACTAGCGATGGTTCCAAACTTATTAGCACGCAAGTTGTAATACCAAGGAGGAGGTGCAACAAAACCCAACATAGGAAAAATCTGTTCCCCTGCAACGACAACCCCTATAACACCAATCTGTACAACTGGTACCACTTTGCTAAGCAAACGCTTCGGAAGCGGTGGGGGATAATTTGCAAGAATAACCTCAGTTCCAGGAAAAGCAATCTCCAACATATTCTTCATTGTTACTGCTGTTCCCCTACATACAATACAATCACCCATTTAGACCAACTTTCCCATCCTAAACACAGAATCATGCCTAACAACGCAAGCAATGAACCGACTATATGAAACACTAAACAAAACCATAAAAAAAACAATGATCTTGAACAATACTTCCCTGGCTAACAACCCAGATAAGATTTTGCATTCTTGATGCATAAACCAAAAAAAAACAGATGTAATACATAAATTTTTAGGGTCAATTCCCCCAATACCCACAAACTAAATGAATTAGTTAAGCTAAAAAATCTTTCCTTTACACCATTTTTCTCTCTCTAACATTCAAAAACATCAGTACAACGACAACAACAATAAAATTATATGAAAATAAGGGAGAGTACTTACTTGTAGGAGCAAGAAGAGCAGTAATTAATGTTAACAGTGTTGTCGAGAGCCACACCTCCAATATTGCTGGTGGGTTTCTGAGATTACACGAAGCGACCCATTATAGATGTACAAAAACTATTGATAAGATCGACTAATGAAAAATTGCATGATGGGAATTGAAATTACCTCGGAGGGGAACTCTATGGCTACAGGGTCAACCACTGGTTGGAGGTGGTGGTGGCGGGTGGGAGATGGCTTCGGCGGCGGCGGGGAAGATGTGAATAGGGATAAGAGGTCAGAACAGAGAAGGAAGAGAGGCAAACCCAGCATCAGAAACTGAGCGCGGTCCATAGCTAAGGCACAACCGTCGAAGAAGAAACACTCAGATGATGTTCTACACCTAATTCTTATTCTGACTATGGACAAATCTCACAAGATGGAAGATATTTTCAATTTTAAAAATGTAAAAAATTCATCTATTTCCAGTTATCATAAATATTAGTTAAACTAATCATTTTAAGGATTATTGTATTTAGTGAGCTTTTTGACCCTTTTGTCCCTCGTTAATTAATTAATAATTATTTTGTCTCTTATTCAAGATTATCTATCAATCTGTCCCTCCTTAATCAGTTAACTTGAACATTTAATAAATTAAATGGTCAAAATAGACAAAAATAGTTGACTCGAGATTTAATCGATAAATCTATGTGTTAATCGATTAAATGATCAAAATAGCACATGAATATAAATGCAGAAACAAAGAAAGTGAATGAAAGCCTTCTGGATGTCTTTGTATAAAGTTTGAGAATTTTTTTTTTTTAATTTGAAATATTTAATTGTATATTTTCATACAAAGCAAAGGGAAGAACCCCCCCCCCCACTCTCCTGGTCCCGTCCTGATCCAAACTATGTTAAGTTGAATGTTAACGGTGCTGTTTCAGGTGTTAAGGCTGCTTGTGGTGGCATCCTTCGAGATTCCAATGGCTCTTGGATTAGTGGGTTCTCCATGTTTTTAGGTTCGTGCTCCTCCTTTCAGGCAAAATTGTAGACAATCTATCATGGCTTAATTTTGGCTTGGAATATGGGATGCAGGAATGTTGATTTAGAAAGTGACTTTTCTCAAGTTGTTAGCCTTCTTACCACTTCTGGTAATGACTCTCGAAGGCTCCCATTGGTTGCCAAGATTCAAGCTGTTTTGAACAAAGATTGGGATGTGTCTTGTGTGAATATTTCTAGATCCATCAATAGTTGTGCAGACTGGTTAGCGAAGGATGCATTTTGCAGGGAGTTTTGTAACGCTCAGCCACTTGCAAGAATCAATGACTGTCCCCACACACTAACACGAGACTTTTCAGTGTGCTTCCAGCATAGTCTCTGGAATCCCTCTCTTTCGGGTGTTGATTCGATTCATTCATGAACCCCAAGCTGCAAGATTTGGCATGAGCCGCTCATTGTCCGTGCCCTTTCGCACCGGCGATCACTCCCTGCCCTTGCCAGCTCTTGGGATGTTACATGTCCACCAGCTTGCCCACCAGCTTCCGCCTGGTTCATCCACGAACCACACCGTACTGTAAGTGAGGCCCTGCTCTGATACCACTTGTAACGCTCGACCACTTGCAAGAATCAATGACTGTCCCCACACACTAACACGAGACTTTTCAGTGTGCTTTGTCCTCACTCGCACACTTCCCGGGAAAACTTCCCAGGAGGTCACCCATCCCAGATTGCTCCAAGTCAAGCACGCTTAACTGTGGAGTTCTTCCGATCCGGGCTACCGAAAAGTAGATGCATCTTGTTAGTATAGGTAGTACCAATTAATTCTTATAAGCCCTTCCTAACTGTATCGTCCCATACCAGCACAGTCTCTGGAATCCCTCTCTTTCGGGTGTTGATTCGATTCATTCATGAACCCCCAAACTGCAAGATTTGGCATGAGTCGCTCATTGTCTGTACCCTTTCGCACCGACGATCACTCTCTACCCTTGCCAGCTCTTGGGATGTTACAAGTTTGGTCTCAATGTCTTCCATTCTCCTCACCAGGATCTGGTTCCTCTCATTGAAGCTGATATATGGGATCCTGGGATTAGCTCTTCTGCTGCTATCAGCGTCCCTGCTGCTGTTTTTCCTTTTAGTTAGTTTTCCTCTTCTTGTTTTGGGGCTATGCCCCTGTATGTACCAAAAAAAAGGGGGGGAAGAAGATCACAAATCTACAGTTGTCTTGGGCATGATGCAAATCGTATATTTGCAAAGCGTATATCCGGTACCCAACATGCAATTCGACCCTCAAGTCAACATTTAATTGATTAACCACGGAGATTTAATCGATTGGTATGACGACGGTGTCGATGACGGTGGTGATGGTGATAATGGTAATTGTGGAGAGTGATTGAGAGTGATCGATTACCCAAAAAGAACTCAGATAGTGTTTGGTTGGGGAGAAGTTGAAATTTTGGTGGGTAAGTGCATGTGGGAATCTCACTCAACCACGTTTGGTTGAAGCTTTGAGGAAAATTTCCCCAGCAAAGCCGTTTCCCCTGCAAAGCAATCTCAAGTGCAAAAATCAGATATCGACACTGTTGGGAAGCCATTTCAACAGGTGGTTTTAGTTGAGGGTATCGGATATGTGAAAAGGGTTAAAAATGCATGACAAATATACCCCTCTTTTTTAAGGTGAGGAACTTGAGTTTGGTGAGCTTTGCGATGGTGGGCTGGATTGGGGCGGTGAGTTTGGGTAGCTCGTGGAATTCGAGAATCTCCAGGTAAGTGAGCTCACCCATATATAGGAGTATCAATTCTTGATGCACGACAATAAGCTTGTTGAATAAAGGGTTGTTTCAAATAAGGGTTATTTGGTAATTTAACTAAATTTGCCCATCAATATTTTAATTTCAACCAAACACACATTCAAAAAATTTACTCAACTTTCCCGGTAAAATTATATCCAACCAAACAACTTTTTTTTAACTTTCCTACCAAACTCACTTTCCAACCATTTCCCAGTAATTACATTTCTCTAGTATTCAAAAAATTTCTCCCCAACCAAACACTACCTCAAGGTTCGATGTGTCTATCGGATCCATATATTAATCCGATCATCACATCATTATTATTTTAAAAACTGAATTCCCTTAAAAATATAATAACACGTTATTATTTCTTTTTTAATCTTAACTAGAAGCATGATTGCAACTTTTTACGTTCGGAATTTTAATTCTTTTTAAGAGCATGGCTTGTTTGTTATCATACTCAATCATTATTAGTAAAATATTATTAACATAAAAATATATTTATCTATACTATTATATAAAAGAAACTCCTACCCCATTATTAAATTTATGTTTTTTTCAAAATTAAATTCATAAGCATATCATGTTGTTCTTTTTACTTTGTTCTTTTTACTTAATTCTTTACCATTATACCAGTCCTTTTTTTCTTCCTCGTATTATTCTGTTTTCATCTCTTTATTTCTATTCACACATTATAACATAATAAACTGAATTGTACTTGATTTTTTTATATAATATTTAAGGGTAATTTGTAGAGAAAGGCATTAAGTAGTTTACCAGAGCTTTTTCACCCTTTTGCCCCTTATTAATTAATTAATAATCATTTTGCCCCTGATTCGAAACTATTTATCAATCTGCTCCTCTTTAATCGATTACCTTGCATTTTTAAACGACTAAATGGCCAAAACAGACAAAAAATGGCTGTTGGGAGATTTAGTTGACTAAATCTCCCTATTTAGTCGACTAAATCTCCATATTTGACACAAAAAAAAATAAGTCAGTATGATTTTAATCGATTAAGTAGGGAGATTTAGTCGATTAAATCTCCCAACAACCATTTAGTCGATTAAACATGCAAAGTAGTCGATTAAAGAGGGGCAGATTGATAAATAGTTTCGAATCAGAGGCAAAATAATTATTAATTAATTAATGAGGGGCAAAATGGTCAAATAGCCAGTTTACCAGCCCAAAATATACACAATGCCAATTATGAAACAATTTCACATCGAGCTTTTTGAACAATCCTCAAGTTCATGAATATGCTAAATACATACTAATTATTCTTATTTTGTTGCAAGAGTTTGCAAGACAGAGAGAGGGTGAAGATATTGGTTCAACTGCAACAACTGAAAATATCTGAAATTAAGCCAAACCTTGAGATGTAAGAAATTAACACACACATGACACTATTCACGATAGTATAGCAAGTTTTTCTGTTGGTCAGAAAACCCCACCAAATTATTATTCAGAGTATACAAGTAATCATGCTATCATCTTATTATACTCTGCTTACACTTGAATTTTTCTTCACTTATTATTATTACTCCAAAATTTAAACTCCCCTCAACACTTCTCCAAATGCTAAATTGTTGTTTTGGTCAGAAACACACAGATCAAAATAGCTTGAAGAGGGACGACCTTAAAGTTTTCTGAGTTCCAAGCCAGTGTTGCATATGGACTCCAATGGCATCCAAGTAAAAGCTGCTCCTCCCATGAAAACCCACCACCTTGCCCTGTGTAGTTGTTGAGGTGAAGAATTTCCCTACTTCCTCACCATATGGACCATATTGACCACGACTTGTATGGAAAGTCAGTGACTTTATGACTATATGCTGCTCATCCTTAGTAATTGACCCGTAATAGCCAGATATACAAGTCAGCACCTCATGTGGATACTCCAGTTGTATCTAAAATCACACAGTAATCTGTATCAGTTAGTTTGTAGCTTGTTTCCTTTCCATTACCTTAGATATCAAAACAAATAAAAAATAAAAAAGTCACACAGTAAGTGTAACAATAAGTATGTAAAGAATGGTCCAAAGTACATTTTGTAGTTGTTTTAGTTGTTATTACATTTTGTAGTTGTTAAACAGGTGGGATCAGGACCGGCCACTATAACAAGTGTAATCTTTATTTAAAGATTACACCAACGTAAGTTACACTGTCAATCTTAATCATTAATTTTATTTATTAATTTTATTTGCATTTAACGGTTTACGTGACTAATAAATTAGAGTCTTTTAAGTGCCAATAGATCGAAAGTTAAAATTTAGTATAAGAGATGATATAAATTCATCCTTGGGTAAGAGAGGGAAACAGAAAAAATGTGCTTAAAGAAAGTGGAAACTTAGAATCATACCCTATGCATGGTGTCTCCTCCATTACCACCATGTTTTACAGACCATACAGATTGCCTGCTTCGATCATACTCAATTTGAATAGAGCAGATGCCTTCTGGTACTTTTGTCAAATAAATCTGTTTAATCCCAGAAAAGACTCCATCATCCCAGGGTTTACCTCCATCCCCACCCCATGGTCCCGGTCCACATGGAGCTGGTTCTTTGATCACACCACAAGAAACCTGGGAAAAAGGGAGCAAAGTGAATAGGATAACCCATACAAAGAGATAACCAAATTGTTAAATGTCTTAAGTATCTTCTAAAAGTTTATTATCAAAAAGGAATACCTCTTCAGCTGCTGCTGGCTTAGCAAGTACCAGTTTGGTTGGCCATTGAGCACTTCCTATTTCACCAATACTTGTTTCCCTAGGGATGATTTCCTTGGTAGGTGTTGCCACCGGTACTACTACTTTCCCTTCTAGCACATGTACTCCAAAAGCATCTAGGAACAAACCTTTTCTCCCATGAATGCCTACCACTTTACCTTCTTTCACCTTTGTGGTGAAATAAGTTCCTTGTTCATCCCCATATGGTCCATACTTCCTTTTGTTGGTGTGGAAAGTTAGTGACCTTATAACAGCAGGACCCATGTACATCAAAGCTCCATAGTAGCCAGATATATGTGTCAGGACTTCACATGGGAAATCAAAGACTATCTGCAAAATGATGCACAACAATTGCTAAAGAATCAATCTGATTTGCACTAGATTATTAAGTAGAGTAAGCTAACTTTACTTGCATGATTTGTTCACCTTATCATTTTTATATCCACCAGTCCCACCTTGTCTGCATCCCCATATGGCATCCCCATCATACTCATACAAAACTCTAATCCATACAATTCCAACATTGCGCGACAAGTTGATTTGCCTGATTCCTGCATAGGTTCCATCATCGAATCCATATCCACCAATGCCACCCCAAGGCCCATATGTGACTACCCCTTTAACCTTTGAGGGTGACTTTTCCAAATGAGCTATCTGAAATGAAGATAGGTTCTAAGATTTATTTGATTCAAAAGCCAAATTTTGAGAGTTGACAAGAAATTAAGGAATACTGAAGTCAAAGAGATTATCCATGCAGGCTCTCTTACCTTTTCTTTGTGTTCAATATTGTTTGATTCTTCGACAATAGAAATCTTCCTGGAGACATTGTTTGGTAGAGGCTTACTGGAATCATCTTTCTGTCTCACAGCAAGAACAATATCATAGTTTTGGTTCACACTTCCTCGTATTACAGAATAACCACAATTCTCAGTATTGTTAGTTATGTGGCTCTGCGAATGAACCAAAGTTTTGGATGGATTTGGTTGCTTCAAGGACTTCAGATAGACTCCAATGGCATCTAGATACCAACCACACCTTCCATGGAACCCAACAATCTTGGCCCCAGTCACTGGGACAGAAAAATGTGTCCCCTGTTCAACACCAAATGGTCCATAAGTTTTCTTGTTACTCTCAAAACTCAGTGACAGAACTAAGTTTGGCCCCCATTGATTTAAGCTACCATAGTATCCATAAATGGAAGTTAGGAACTCATCTGGGAATTCAAGCTTCACCTGCAACACAGTCATATATCGTTAGTTAATAATATATGCACCAAATTTAATTAGTACCAACTTCTACCTTCATAGATTCTTTAGTGCCAATATTGCAAATCAATGTCACAAGATCAGCTAAGGCCATGGATCCTTTACCTTGTCAGTTTTATGGCCTCCACTTCCACCATGCTTCTCTGACCAGATAGAGGATCCTTTCTTATCATATTCAATCTGGATGGAGTCAATTCCTGCCCCATGAACTATCACCAATTGCCTCACTCCTGAGTATACCCCATCATCCCAACGGGACCCTCCATTGCCTCCCCATGGCCCAACTGATGCAGGTTTCTTTATGGAATCCTCAGAACTCTGCACCCAAAACATCACGCAACTCAAATGTGTTAAAAAAGAGAGAAAAAACATATAAATTGTTAAACATAAAATTAGAGGCAATCTCTGCATTAAGTGCTATGTAACATGAGCTTCTTTAAGCGTGTACTACCATCTTCTTCTGCTTGTGGGAAGAGAATGATAGACTTTGGACAGAGAATACTGCAAGTGAAAGTGTTAATGTGGGTGTAGCTAGAGGAACGCGTAAGAGGAATTTAAGGCAGCAGAGGGTGGGTTTGTGGCAGGGAACTTTGTCTAAGAAAATAATATAGATGAGGAACTATGCAGAAGAAGCTAATTCGTGTTCCACCATGGAAGGAAAGGATTGAAAGGCAGGGAATCAGATTCCCCACAGAAATCCATCCCTGGTTTTTATTCAGAGAAAATTTCATGCACTTTTTATGGTCAAGGAGCAAACATTTTCTTTCCCCAATCTTATTCCCCATTTTCAGAACAAAATTATTGGAGAAAAGGAAGGAATACAATAACTTTTGGAATTTAATCCGGAATCTGGAGCACTCAGACTCTGTTGCTTCCGCAGGCACTGGTGCTCTGATGCCATTAGTGGTACAGCTTTCTTTTTGTATGTGATTCCTTATGATGATTGCATTTTCTGCACCCTTTAGTGCTTACTTGTTTAGCTATTTCTAGATACGGTGTCTGTATTAGAATATCACATCATGCTTACTCACAAGGTGCTTCTAATAAACTACTAAGGGAAGAATCTATGACGCTTTGTGGATGCTTACTGATGCGACACTTTGGATTATACAAATATTTTTTTCAGGTTGCATTTTGTAGCTCCACTGGATTTCCTATCATTAGACTATGAAGCATCTTTTAATGACAATTTGTAACTTATAAGATAAACATGAAAGGACCACAATGATTGATTTCATAATTTATTTATATCTTCTCATTGGAAATTACCAACTGGACATGCATTCAAATCTTTCATCTGGAAAGCATCACCAAATGCGTACACAATAGCCAAATGGAGTTCTGTATAGTTTAACCTGATACATAATGTAATAAAGGGAAGTCAAAAACTCGGGAGTGGATCCTCTCATGTGTTAATTAACATGATCATGTCATGTGAGGCAATCATAATCATACATGGGTGAGTTAATGGTGATAAGGGAGGAGAGAAAAAAAATATAAGGATAGGAAGTTACACAATCATCACCGTTGATTTAATTATTAATGGTTAAGATCCTCCCACATGACATGATCATGTTAAATTACACATAAAGATGATCCATTTCCCAAAAACTCAGTAGTGTGGAAGGTTTATTTTATTCATGAAGTTATTGTCAAAAGATTTATGTACATCAAGAACAACCATAATACATGACAGATTTCCGTATGTCTGGCATCAATGATTCTCTCTAACATCTTATTGCTCTACCAATAATCCCTACAAGAACAGTGGCCACCTTTAAAATGGTGTAAGCAATTTGAATCACTTAAATATATTTCACACCCATATGCCGACGATATGTATTTGGCTGTGTCATGGCAATCTCTACACATTCTCAAATTTTTTACTATCCGTAAAATTTGAGGAGCATCATGAGAATCTGTTAAAGCAAATGCAAATGCAAGTTTTTCACTATGTACACTACTATTATTTTCCTTCTCTTCTTCCTCAATGCAAAGTCCATTGTCAGAAATATCTGCCTTGACATTTTCAGCTACCCTTTTTAGCCAAGAATGTAGCTTGTCTGAATATGGTTTCGACTGATCTCCAACTACAAAAGTATGGACCATGTTTTTCCTTTCAATCCAGCATTGCCCAACAGGTTTCTTAACAGCCATTTCTTTCTCCAGCTTTGTCATATTTGGAGCATCCCAAGACATTCCACATAAAGAATATGCTTGTGAAAGTACATGCTGAGTTATATTATTTCCAGGTTCCAACTCAAGCAAACGCTCTGCTGCTAGGATTGCCAATCTAAAATTCCTGTGAATTCTGCATGCGGTCAGCAAGGCAGCCCATACAGAGGAATTAGGCTCAATGGGCAAGTTTTGTATAAACTCTAGTGCTTCAGCAAGCTTACCTGAACGACCAAGCAAATAGACCATAGCAAAATAATGATCCAGACCTGGTCTAATATGATATTCTTCGCTGAGGCTAGAGAAAACACGCTTCCCCTCCTCCACCATTCCAGCTTGACTATAAGCTAAAATAACATTTACAAAAGTACCTCTACTTAGTTGAAGTCCTTCCTTCCTCATCTGATAAAAAAGATCAAGTGCGGACTCTGAACAGCCATGTAAAACATAACCTGCAAGCAGAGAGTTCCAACTGATGATATCTTTTGATGACAATCCACCAAAAATATTTCTGGAATACATTATATTTCCTGACTTAGCGTAACTGTCAATGAATATGTTTGATACAGAAAGTTCAGACACTAAATTTCGACGCACTGCACAACAATGGATTTCTTTTACTTTCTTTCCGGCCACTAAATTAGCACAGGCATGAAGGATACTCAGCATTGTAATTGAGTTGGGGGTTATGTGGGAAAACTGCATCTGCCGAAATATCTGCAAGGCCTTGTCCTTTTGTCCACTTTGCAGGAAACCAGAAATTAATGAATTCCATGATGCTACATTTCGTTTAATTTTCCCATCTTTCTCAATCCTTTGAAAAAGATCCATCGCCTGATCAACATCACCGTTCTGCATATATGCTGTGATCATTACATTCCATGTAACAACATTAGGTGGTGGTGAATCAGATACCTGCATTTTCATAAATAATTCATGGGCTTTGCCACAGAAACCAGCTTGGATATATCCTCCAATAATTGAGTTCCAAGAATAAACATCTCTCTCTAACATCATATCAAAAATGTGTTGAGCAGCTTCCAGATTTCCACCCTTGGAATACATGTCAATCAGGGAATTACCAATTAGCACATCGTCAACCAAACCTAACTTAACAGCAATACAATGGATTTCTAATCCCATATTCAGAGATTTTAAGGATGCACATGCCGAGGTTGCACTTGCAATTGTAATATTATTAGGCTCAACCCCTGCTAAAAACATCTCTCTTAACAAATCAAAAGCTTGTATTGTCATGCCCTTATGAGTCAACCCAGAAATCATAGAAGTCCAAGTATATACATCTGGAGTAATCCCAAAACTCTCCATCTTCCTCATTAAATCCATTGCAATATCACAATACCCTAACTGATTATAACTGGCAATCAAAATGTTCCAAATTACCAAACCAGGTTCAATTCCTTCTTCCTGCATTGCATCAAAATATTTCTGAGCTTGTTCAATCTCACCCTTCTGGCAATACCCAGTTATTATTGCATTCCAGGTCACACTGCTCCTCTCATCCATACAGTTAAAAAGCTTCTTTGCACAACTCATCTCCCCACACTTAGCATAAACAGACAGAACTGAATTGTTTACATGCATAGCCGAGTGCATTCCGCTCCGAATCACCAACGAATGGATCAACCTCCCAGTTTCAAAATCCCAGCACTTTGCACAGGCTTGCAAAATCTTTGGAAGCAAAAAATCATCGGGTAAAAACCCATCTTGCATCATAGCATAAAAGAGGTCCACAACTTCCTCCCAGCTCTGGTCTCTAGAGCAAGCGCCAATCATAGCAGACCAAGTGAACAAATTCCTCTCACGCATTTCATCAAACACTTTCCGGGCATCCTCCAATTGCCCGCATTTAGCATACATGCTGATCAGCTTGGTCTCCACAAAAGGGTTCACCTTTCTCACCAATCCAATCCGAGCGTGCAACTCCCTACCCACCCAAATGCAGTCTCTGTCAATACATGACTGTAGCAGGTTCATGTAGGTGATGGGTCTCACCGTAGACCCTTGCTCACCCAGTGAGTCAAGAATTGCCACAGCCTCACTCAGTGGGCCATTAACGCATAGCTGGTTCAACTGGGCATCTATTAATTTTGGGTGTAACCTTTTGTTCATAGAGATATTGTTGGAATTTGCATGGAACCTTGTTGAGTTATGGCATTCAAAATGGGTGGCACTGTAAGAAGGGACTGAAAGAGGAGGCCTTGATTTACTGGATATAATAATAAGATTATTCTCCATTGTGTTTTTCTTTTTCTTTTTCCACTGTGTTCTGAAATTCCCTTATCTCCTCCTTTGGGTTTTGCAGAGATGTGTGGAGATGAGGATTGAGCTGATAAGGTACGTGGTGATGGAAATCAGCAGAATCCAACTTTGGGTGGTCCCATTCCCATATACATGACTGGATTCAGTTGTCACAAAATCAGAGTGGTGATTGAATTTACTAATAGGTTTTGAGCCAGTTTAGATTCACATATATTTTTTTCTCAAAGTTCAATTAATACATGGAAGGAACATTTAAAGATGGTGGATCACCATAACATAATATTGTTCTATCTTAATTTGATTGAAATTTAATTTAATGAAATATGTATTTGATTGAAATTGGTTATAAAAAAAATAAAAATTGTATGAAGTTAATTTGGTTTTAGCTACCTCATCTTTAAATCCTAAATACTTATTAATTGTGTAAGTTAGTAGTGTCGCCAATGCTAGGTTTCAAGTTCATACATATGTCAATGCAACAATAATTAACTTGCCTTAAGAATGAGCAAGACATGAGAATTTATCGAATTCTTCAGGTTTACTGTAATATGTGTTTCAGTCACTCTTTCATTAGTGTAGCACATAACAACATATAGTGCACTTCTTTAAAGGGCACTTACATAGTGATTTAGGACCGCTTGTGTTTGGATTTTGTTTTCTTTAAAATTTGCTATAACTGGTGCGACAAAAAGATGATATCCTATATACAGTTGTTACGAATTTATAATTTTTTAAGCAGCATTACACTATAAAAATTAAGATAAATGCTTTAAAGAACCCAAACTAATAACAATAAGAGTAAATATCATTTTTCTTCCCTGACAATTTTCACGAAGTTCCTTTTGGTCCCCAACAGTAAAAAAGACTTATTTTGGTTTTTAATTTTACAAAAATAGGACCACGTTTGTCCTCCCGTTAGTTGGCATCCAACGGCCCAACCAACGGAGCACACGTGAAACGTTAGTTTGCTGAGTCACCGTTAAGTATGCCAGCGTCGAAGTAATACGATGTCGTTTTGAACATGTCTTATGTCTTCTTGGAGTTTTGGACAACTGATCCTAGTATCGAAGGCCATATTTGGTCCTTAATACTAAAAAAATGAACATTTACACAAAAGTTGCAAGGCATATTGCAACAAACCACCAACCACAAACTTTTCAAACCAGCATTGCAGCAATCCAATGGCCTTATTAATTTTTTCTTTCATGAATCTTCTTTGTTGAAGGATTTCACTACAAATTGCTGATACTCATCTCCCATTTATAAAATCATGGATGGAAGCCCACATAGAACACTCAACACCACGAGTTATGATTTGGTGAAGGCTTTGACGTGGCTTTGACGTCCCATGAAGTACTGAAGTCCTGCAACATACACAACCATGATCAATAAAGTTTGTTCGCACTTTTTTTCTTCTCTATTGTAACACGACATATTCCCAATAACATCCACCGGGGATAAACTACATGATCATCCAACAAACTTTAATCTATTATAATTTGTTTCCAAATGAAGATTTCTTAGTCCCTTAGTTCATGTTAAAGGATATGTTTGTTGCATGAGGCGCTTGAAACGATTTTCAGTCCATATTTAAAGGGAATAGTAGTTCAACAAATATGTTTCACAAAACTTTAATTACAAAATAATTGCATGAAATAATAATAATATTATATAGCATCACAACTTACAGTTAGTTCATCAATATCAACTAATAATTATATATTTTATCCGAAATGGGAAGGTCAATTTCAAAGTGTCTCTGTAAGCATGCATGCTTGTGTGTGGGGGTGTCACACGCAGAGAGAGAGTACTAATCAGCACTAAGATAATATCTTAATATCTAGTGAGCACAAATTCTTCGCCAATATTAAACTAGCCAGAGTAAAATCATTGTTAAAAGAGAGACAAAATAATGTTTGTGAAAAATGTCAGAGACGAAAAAGGGTATTTACTCTAACAATAATTATAATAAATGAAAGTATGAAATAAATGAAAGTATGAAATATTAATATCAAAAGTAACAAACTTTTCCTTACAAGCTAATAATGAGGTCATATCAAAAGAGGGAAGGGGACGCGGGGGCAGGGTTTGTTGATAATAGCACATGCAATCTTTTTTTGTCCCTCCACAATATGTGAGAGATCGAAATCTCTAAGATAGTGTTTGGTTGAAGGATTATTTTGGGATTGATGGAAAAGTGTAAGTGGATATTGGAGAATACCACGTTTGGTTCAGGTTTTTTGAAAAAAATACTAGGCAAATGGGATAGATGGGGAAATGACTTTTGTATTGATTTTTGGATGAAATTCACTGTTACAGAATACCACTTGAGATGTGGTATTTTGAGATAACTGGATAAATAAAAAAACAGGTGCGAAGTTTCTCCCGAACATAGATTTTGCAAATTTAAATAAATTTCCCTGGTAATATTTTGGTCAACCAAACAACTTTTTTTACATTTCCCTACCAAACTCATTTTCCAACCATTTCCCTAGTAATTACATTTCCCTAGTATTCAAAAAATTTCTCCTCAACCAAAGGTTCAAGTTTTTGGAGAGGATTACCGGTAATCCTTCTTTGGTAAATGTAATTACCACGTTTGGTAGAAGGAATAAATTACGATTCCCGGATATCCAAGGATTACCGGTAATTTGATTTATAAAGAAAAGTCACTATTCAGATTACCAAAAATAATATGGTAATTCGGAATACCAATCAGAATACCAAGTAAAGGGAAAGCACAACAATAAATTTTGAGACAAAAATATCCCAATACACATAAAAATCTAGACCAAATCTATCAATTACAAAAGTAAAAATAGTTTGGGGTTATTTTTGTAAAATAACCTCATATTCCAAGTCATATTTCGTTCTAAACCAAATATGGAATCAGTAATTTTTACCCAGTATTCCCGGTAATATTTTGGCGAACCAAACACATCTTTCGTAAGATTCCAAGTAAACTCAATTTCTACTGAATTCCCATTAATCATGATTCCCGGTCACCAAAAAATTTCTCCTGTACCAAACACACCCTTAAAGATTGTTGGTACATGGTAATATTTTGGATGTTCACAAAAGTGATAGTGGGAAACTTTTACTCGCACATTTGCTACAAGGAAAAAAAAATTGTTTGAGAAAATTTTATTCCCCTCGTTTCATATAACACTACGCAAAGCCAATTCAAAATACCTTCTTGTACATGGTAATTTTTTTTTCCCCCGAGCCCTAGCAATAAAAAGACAATAAGCCAAATAATAAGTAAAAGCACTCTTGAATCGCCAACAACCGCGAAGCTCAACTGTCACCAGCCCCAATCTCTAAAATTGGGGTGTGTTGTGCATGTTGAAGATTATATTTTACATTAGATCACCTACTCTTCTCCCTTACCAGGTGCTTGCAACTCCAATGAATCCCCAAAAAAGTAAATAAATAAATGGGAACAATTACGCATAGAAGAGGAAAACTCATTTGCTGATATACATGCAAGAAATGTTCTAATGTACACTTGTCTCACATTCAACCCCTGTCAAGAAAGATTATACGAAAACATTTTAGCAACCTCAACACAATTATATCCTACCGTTGTTGCTATGCTAACAGCAAGTCTATCAATTTTAACCATCAAGATACTCACACCAGATTGCAAGTAATCATGGCTAAATTTAACACTCTCCATGAAGATAGACGTAAATATAGTAGTTAAAATCTCAATTTAAATCTGCAATTTTACGATTTTTTTTAATCAAAAAAATTTTGTCAAAATTCCAAACGTTTTTACGATTTTTTTTATGTTAGAATTTTACGTTTTATGATTTTTAATCCTCCTTCCGATTTTAGGTAGAATCTCAATTTTAACTACCATGGACACAAGTTCTAACAAGAAGAAGGACATTATTGTTATTATAGAAAACAGGGTTATGTTGTCCACAGATTCTGGAGAAAAACAAAAATGCCTATGTTTGTTTATCTGCGCACTGCTATTTTATTATTTTGTTTCTAAAATGGTGTTTCAAAGTTATCTATTAAGAGGGTACTTTCGTAAAAGTTTTTCATTTTTTCAGTAATATTTTATTATCAATCAAACATCCCTTCAGAAAAATTAACCAATATTTTTAGTAATATCTTGGTGTATCAAACACTTTTTTCATAATATTTTCGAGAAAAAAAAAAATTTCAATCATATTCCTAATAATCATGATTCTTAAATAAAAAAAAAATTAATCTACAAAACGCCCTATTATGTTCCGAGGTTGATGGAAGGCAACTGAAACTTGAGCGGTAAGAAGACTGAGTCTAAATTTCTACAGATAAGGAAAGAAGAGGGAAGCATATTCAAATACAATAAGTAAGAAATTAAAATTTACAAAATAGAGGGAATAAAAGGAACTGGGTCAATGATAGAAGCAAAACTATATTTGAATATAAAAATGGGGTTCTCCAATAGCTAATTGTTATTTAAGAAACAAAGGCTTCGTGTCCGAATACAAGGAAGCATATTCGAATACAATATTAAAAAAATTAGAAAGTACAAAAGCAGAGTCAACACACGTTCCCATAAGACAAGGAATTGGGTCACTATTACAAGTCAGAAAAAAACGGTATTTGAATACACATATTGAGTACCAACTAATAACGTTTGGAATTTTACATTTTGTTTTTAAAGTTTTTTTTTCTAGTTATAGTACACGTAAATATCAAATCCATACTATGTTTGACTGCTTGCCCTGTCCAAAAAGCATAAAAAACATTGAATCCTGATAGGACGTTTTGGTACAGGAGAATTTTTCTTTTTTATCTGAGAATTTTAATTTTTAAAAATATAATTTTTACATTCAGTTTATGAAATATTCAAAAATTTAAAATTTAAAAAAATTCAATTTTCTGAAAATTTTGAAGAATGACGCGTATCAAACGCTCCCTGAATGTACAAGTTTTTTCCCACAAGCTAATAATGACTTCATATCAAAAGGGTTAGAAAAAACAGCAGATACAATACTGTTTTTTACTTCCACAATTTGTGAGAGATTGAAATCTCTAGT